TGTGTGTGAAACACAGACAAAAGATTATAAACCAATAAGATGAAAAACTGATATGATTAAATCTGGGATTAAAAAGTGTAAGTATGTACTTAAATCTTAAAGGAAGATCTTTATACATTTTCCAAACAAAGCTATACTCTCCTTTGTAGTTGCCATGGGGCAAGAAATTAACTAGCCAGAGGCCAACTGAACTTCTCAGCACACTAACTCATGAGGTCTGGGAAAAGTAACAGTACAGACTCATTACAAGTCATAACCCACCGTATACACTTCTACCTAAGTGACCTGACAACTGGATGTGTACTGTGTTTACAATTACTTTTCCTCCAACCACACAGCACAGAGTAACACAGCAAAGGATAAAGGAAAAGGGAAGAGGAATTTTAAATCAATTAGTAAGAGCTCAGGATTACTTTCCAGTGTGAAATGAGTTTTACGTAGAAAAACGGTGGGGGCTGGCAGACGTATTCAATTACCGCAGCCCCCCTCAGCCCAGTGTCATTTGAGGTACCATTAATCCTGGCAACACCTAATCCGCAGGCCAGGAAAACGGACAGTTCAGACCATGTAAACAAGCTTTTGTTTTCTATCATTTGCTTTAGGAAACATACTCAAGATGAGCAAATGCTCTTGACGGAACTTTTATATTAACACATTTTTAAAGCCTTGTCTTAAATTAGGATAAGCAAATGCTAGAAGTAGAAACAGACACATTAATGCTAATTTAAAATATTTTTTAAACAAATAAGTGAAATTGCAAGATCATAATTAGGAATGTGGCATTCAATGCTAGGACCTAGATGTCATTAATACATGCTTTACTGAAACCATGAAACCTTTTTCCTAAAAGCTTGTTATTTTTAGTTTTCTTTAAAATTAGGCATTCCGCACTTAATCTCATCGAGAACAATATAGATTTTTACATTTTCGAAAACTTAAACAGCTGTCTTTTAAAATATCCCTGTCATTCACACCTTCCCACCAACTGCAAAGCCAAATTACCAAACCAAGAAAGGGGCAATAAATGTAATGTAGGGTGGTGTCTTTACAGAAAAGCCAACTGCGTGCTCTGCATTGTGACTGAATTTGCCGCAACGCGGATTTAGTAGCTCTTTTTTTAAGTGGTTGATACAGACTGTGGGATGAGACCTCTGAGAGCCAGACGGTCTGGAAAGCAGGGGGATCTGTTTCGGCGCTTGGAGAGTCCCTGGAACAGAAATCGCCCACCGTTAACCCTTAGACAGCCAGGGAGAGGGAGAGCTAGCACATCAGTTGAGCGAAACTGACAAACTGCCAACGTGCATTTTTGCCCTGAATCTCCCCACCATTTACAATTGGTTTCTAAGAATAGATGCGTCTTCCCCATCTTTTCTATTCGCTTGTTTGTTGCTAGGGGAACGGAAGCTCATGAATGGCTAAAGTTATCAGCCACTAAGCAGCGGTAGTGAGGGAAAAAAGGTAAATAAAAGCGATGTAATCCTCTCGCAGCCTACTGGCTGTCGGTCGGGATTCGGCGTTTGAAACGGTCAGGACAGCGCCGGATGAGGCTCGGTGGGGGGGGAAGAAAAGTAAACAGAGACACCACACACCCACTCGCACTCGCAGATAACAAAGGCTCCCCAGTCGCCCTGCGCTAGCGCGCCGTGTGCTTCACCTCCTGGAAACGGGCAGCTACGGCTTCAGGAACCGCACACCTCGTGTCCCGCTTTCACGAAACCCCACAACATGCGGAAAGACACACGTTTATATTCGCGTTTACATACGAGCCTTACGTGACCTGGTTTCACTCAGCTCTTTTAAGGCAGTTGCCAAATGCACGTTGCGCTTTCGGGAATTTGAAAACCGGGATAAAAGAGGACCCCCTCTGTCCTCTGTGTGATCCGATTGCATTTTACTACAGCATTCAGGCCGTTCACTTCAGAAACCAAGCCGTCATAACAACCGGCTCTTTATCACAGCGTGGACAGATTTGCCACTACGGGCTGAGTCATTCCTATAGTCTCGCTTTCAAAGGCATTCCTGTTCAGACTCGCCTCCAAACACTAATATCGCCCTAAAAATACCTATTTTCAATAAAGATGATGTATTTTAAACAAATGTTTTTTTCCGAATAAGACTGAAAAAACGTGGTGGGTTTTGGTTGATTTTTAAAAACAGAAAGCTCACTGCACATAAATGAGATCCCATGTCTACACCCGATCCCGTTTCTGAGCTATTAGATCTGTACAAGAGCTTCGACTCACCGGCTCCCTTGCAAAACGTGATGTTTATTCATTTAAAGCTATTTTAAAATCCTATATAACCAATATTAAATTGAATTTTCGAGCAATGAATACCTAACCATATAGAGATTTGTGTCTTTAATTGAGCCAAATGTGAGGAAAAAGGAACGCGCGTGCTTTTCAGTGAAATGCAAAGAAAGGTGTGAAAATAGCACCTCTTACAAAAAAAAAATGCAGCAGAGAATCCAAACAAACAAGTCAAGGAATGCAAATTTCAGGAGCTGTGTTGTTTTTTACTCCTCTAAACTTCCAGAGGAGCTGAAATACAACAAACTTGGTGATAAAAATGGAGCCCTTGTGGAATACAACTGGCGAATAAAACATTAATGCTTGATGCTGATGCAAGAACCCCGGTAACATTGCAACATCCAATAACAGAGCAGAGCCAGCCAGGACCAGTGGGGTCGAGCCTGTTCGCAGACAGACTCCAGCACCTACCACGCCTAAGACTCCCAGTCCTGACGTTTTACCTTTATTCAAGTCGCATATATACAGTACTTTACATCTGAAGTACTTAGGACATGAACTAAAGTAAACCCTCGGTCTTAACAGTCTAATGTGGTGAAGGGGTGTCCATTTAATCAAGAATGGGTTTTTTTCAGCACAAAACACTTTTATATGGGATATATACTTTACTATATATATATATGCCTTCTGAATCTTTTGAATTTTTTGTTCACAATTGAAATTGAGTCAGTGAAAATTGTTCCTGTGACATTTAATCCTAAACACACTATTTCAAGTGTTATAAATACACACATTGTGAGCAAGTGACTTACCATTAAGGGCACCATTGATATTGCTGAATTTTAAACATGTATCTTTTTATTACTTTGTTTTATTCTTTGAATATTTCCCCATTATTGCCAGGAGGTCTGGTTTTTCTGATTTTACAGTCTGTTCAATCGAGGATTTATTGTACTTCCATGACACATTTCCTTTCTTTCAAGCAGCCATGCCAATATCACAGACAGAAATTTCAACAAAATCAAGCCGAATGACTTAGTGATGCTTTGAAGGGAGGGGAATAAGTCATACCTGCACAGTAAAACAAAGTACACACAGGGATATCTATATATAAGAAATACTGTTACTAAACATATTGTAACGAATACACCCCTGCACATAACAAGGATTTGGGCCGCCCGGGCTGAGCAAGGTCAGCCGACAAGACCCCCACGCCGGAGACCCGGGTTCGCGACCATGTGGTGGAGGGACGAACTGGGGCAGGAGAGGGGAGGGCACAAGCCCGAGAACCCGAATTCACTACAATATAATATATAACTAAACATATAATGGCGTGGCATCTATACATAAGGGACAGAAAAATCTAAGGACAAGACTTTTTTCTGAGAAGTAAAATGTACTTCATAAATTTATAACAAGCGTAGGGAAGTAAAACTCTTCCTCAGAAAGTACTGCTTTGACTAAAGCATTTTCTTTGGTGATTCGGGGAGAAGAGCTTTTGTAATAAGTTGTTCTTTTATATTTTTAACCTTAACTGCTCAAGATCTATTGGCCTTCGCTTCCATCAGCGGTGTTTTCACTTCGAGAAACGGTCTCTTTAATCTGAACCATTGCGTTGCTGTAAAGCATCTTACTGGCTGCATCATGCCAGTAATAGAATTTTATCTTGGGAGGGTTGTGTACCCCAAAATAACACATGCACATTAAAGGTTTCAAATCCCCCCCCCCCAGAAGAAAAGCCAGGCTGGCTGTTGAACAATGCTAAAAGGACCAAGTGTTAGCAAGAATATTTCTTTCAAAGGTTCTGTGCGAAATTTCCAAATGAACTGGAGCAAAGCTCTTGGGGTTTATAATCCCATGAAGAAAACCTTCACGAACTTACATTCACAACACACAGCACAACAGGGATGAGAATATCCTGAAGGCAGAGATTTCTATCACAGTGAGATGTAATGCAGTGTATACTAAGCAAATTAAAGTGTGTAATGAAAGGTAATGAAGAGGTGTTTTATATGATCTATAAATTGATTAAAACAATACCAAAGAAATAAGGTTAGACCACGAAGTGCAAGTTGTAAACATGACTATATAACTGATATGCACGCATATATTGACCTGTTTTTGTGTTTAACTGGAAGCCAAAACTACTCTCTCTTCCTGAATAAGGATCAACCTGTACTTTGTTGTTCCTTGTGGCAACACCCAGATATGTCTCAACTTCAAAATAATGTTCTTCACAAAGACATGCTGAGACTCTTTTGTATGCATCTCTGGTTGTGATGTATTACTAATTTTTAGAACCACCTACCCCCCTGTAGAATATCAAGTAATAGATTTCAGATTTCCACCAGTCATTTTTTTCCGTCTAGCCTCTTTCATGCTGTTTTGTTTCAAGTGGATGCGAGCCTCTGTCTAAAGTCACCCAAACCTCATGGCAAGGGAAAATTAATTTTGCATTTAGCAAAAAAAAAGTGGCAAAAAACGTAATGTTGTGGTGACAAACTCCAAAGATATTATTTCTGTTGAGCACGGATATAAATTTAACAGTAATTCCAAGATGGAAAGAACAGCAGAATGTGGATCGAGGCATTTAAAGTACCACATCCGCGCCTCAGAGTGAATGTGTAACAGTGTGCCGTACACACACAGCAGACACAGTGCTGTTCTGAAACACAGTGGGTGTTTCTGTGGGGCTTTCATGGCTGACTTTAGAGTAAACATTTCGAACCAAAGAACTGAAGCATTACTCACCAATATGTTCTCCACTTTTGATTGTACGGATTTGCTGAAAGAGAAGAATAAAAGAAGAAAATTACTACTGTGGTGAGTTGCGGTTATGCAAGCTTAAAGGCAGTGTTTATTAATAATCAGTAACTTCACAAGATATCACCTCTCCCCACCCAAAGAGCACTCACATGTTAAAAGAGACACGGCAAAAATAAAGCATTAAACATCAAGCTGGGCCTTCAGAGTCTCAGCAGAAGAAACTTTACAAGCCGGTATAATACCATACTCAATCTAAAAATAGGTATTGTAAGTCATCTCCTCTGGCCCCATGGTAATTCAAAGCTGGCAGGGCAGTAGTGTCTCAGAACGACAATGAAAAACATTAGGAATAGTCAATGTGACCCTTCAGCACAGACCACAAAGTGCCGCCTCACTGAGACACAGACGCAAGAGATCAAGGTGGAATCATTTGCTGCTGGTCTGATATCAGGCTCAGGCCTAAATGCCTGAAGAACAGTTGTGGCAGGTTAGTGTGTTCACACAGGAGAATGTATCAAATTTCAAATGGTTGTCTGAGGGCCACAGTTATACACAAGGATACAAGAACACAATGTGCTACCTGCCCAGCCTGCAGGGCATCACACTCCTACAGTAGATCTACTACACAGACTCTTGATGTGCCCATGCTGACGGTCACTGCAGAGTGGGGAAACTCCCAAAGTGATGGAGGACCACAGCTAAACTGCCAGTACAAACCAGAAAAGTGAAGGACTCCTTCGTTTCACTACCTCAGCACAACCTCATGGGTAGCTGCTTTGTGCTGTGCAGTGAAAGCATAAACAGCCCCAGTACTAAGGCTGCCCATACCCCCCCACTGTCTGAGCTGAATTCGGTCATCAGTTCGTGCAGCTCTTACTTTGACACCTAGCTGTTTTTTAAAAAGGCTTGACAAAATAAAAACGAAAATAGCAACTGAACAGGAAAAGATTCCGCCAGAAAAGGTAGGAAATCAGTTTTGGGGCATTCTCTTCTTCGATCAGGTAAGACTCCCTGTAGAGATCTGAGAGGTACCATAGTTTGGCAAGATAACTTATAACATTGTTGTGAATCAAAAAAAAAAAACTAAAGCATTTGCTGTGAGCTGTAAATTAGTTTAAAAGGGCAGGTTGCCATGTTCACCGAGCAATGGGTACTGGAACAGTTTCCAAAATGACAAACAATACATTTGAGGTGATCGAGAGCATTTAATGACCTTTACAGCTTTTGTTAATGGGACTTAAATAACTATCTAAAATACAATAAATCAACTGCATGCTAAATTGCTTTCCAGAAATCTTGATTTCTCCCCCCAGTCAAAACACCATTTAATGTTTAAACAGTTCAACTTGAGTACAAAAATCACAACAAATACTTCTACATAAATTGATCATTTTTCAAGGAAAACAGACAGTAAAATCAATGTTATATAACACTTTAAAAGGATTGACTAAAGCTATGCGAGGTTGGACAGGTATAACACAATTTTACAAGTTATGACTGTTTTACCAACACAAAATAGCAATTACACATCAGCAACGAAACTCTCTTTCTTGGTCATACAGACAACATCTGATTGGGAATTAACTAACTAAGCTTTAATCATTTACACTAGGCTTTAATTCCTGTAAGACTAAACATGTTGAAGGCCAGGAAAAAATAGGGGGATTTAGGGAGACAGCTTGAGAGTTTCCCCCATCATCAACACCCAGATAAACAAAACCACTGATGCAGCTTAAGGACTGATGCACCTCCAGCATCACACAAACCCTCTCATCACACAAACCCATGAAAACTCAGGGAATTACATATCTGTGCTACATATTGTTGTGGGATGTGCTTCTTAAACATTTTAGAAGTCTACAAACTTTGGTTCAAGTCAGTATATTAAGCCTGCTTCTTGGCAATGTCACAAAGCAATGAAAGTTCCTAAACAAGTGGGTGATATCAGTACAGTTCATGGCCTGATAATCAGTGTTTCTCTAAGGAGCATCAGTGCATCACTGTGAAGGTTTCTTAGCCCTGTTTTCCAGTTTAAAGTGGTGTCCACTTCCATTTACTCATTGCTAGTTCAGAACTGCTCTGCAGTAAAACATAACCTAAAGAAAATCTGCTTGTTTGGAATAAAGATTAAAAGCAATGGAAACACATTTTTTCATTGACCTTTCCAAAGAAAGAATCATTTTGGGAACAAGGATTATTCTCCAGGGTAATAATTCATGACTTTTTTAAGACAAAAGGTTTAAGCACCTTTTGTAGAGCAGAGCTGTTTCAAAAGAAATAGGAATTCTTTTCTTTTCAGATTTAGCATTTTAAACAAGTAATTAAATGACTTTTCCCTGCAGATCACAAATAAACAGCTCTTAGTGATCTGAAATCTCTCATTTGTGTATTACTTATTAATTTCAGCACCAATGAGCAATACGCCCTTGTTTACTGTAGCTTTCCAGGTTGAGCTGAACGGTTTAATCAATTTAAGTCGATCTTGTCTTCTAATCTTCCTGTTCTCCTGCTGGTGCTGTCAGGTTGGTGAATAAACTCTTAAAGACATTGCAGGTGAAAGACAGGGCCGTTTTGATTTCCCTCAATTACTAGATTTTAAAGTTATCTTTTAGGTGAATGATGAATTCAGCATGTATATTTTATGCAATAAATGATCCACGAAGAACTATGTGTTTATATTCAAATCTCAGCAGGGCCAAACCCATTCTATCCTGGCGAGGGCCACCCCAAGCCTATCTTGAAAGTGCAGGGCACATGGCAGAATTACACCCTGGACGGGACAGCTGTCCATCACAAATAGGTCATGCTCACATATGGGGACAATTAAGGGGCACCCATTAACCTGGCCAACATTGGAAGGTGGAACAAAACTCTAGAAAACCCACACTAAAACAAACACCACACAGAAGGTACCCCAATTCAGAATGGAACACCAGATCTGGAGCTCTGAGGCAGCATGTATAAAATCAAACTGTCCTTCCTTACTTCCATGTGAATGCTTTACATCCCTCTTACTGAGGTGTCATCAACAATGCTGTCACACCAGGGGAGACACAGGTTTCTGCTCCGATATTGAGATCACACCAATAATTGCTTACACAAAAACATATATGGTGTCTTTATACACTAAATATTTTTAGGTGACATTAACTAAAGCAAGATAAACAATATTTACTAATGTTACTAGCTATGGCACAAAAATTGTGTTATTTAATTGATGTCCTCACAATTTACAACAAAACCAAGTCAAGGTAAGCCAGACAAACTGATCATTCCCATTTAAACCTCAAGTGCTACTTCATTCATTTTCCGCACAAAGCTGTTGGAAACGCAAAAAAATAATATGCTTGCAATCCAGAGCAACCAGAAAGCAGATTGTTCCTCTGAAAAATGGGTGGTGTTGAAAAAGCAAGCAGTTGCAAGTTTCTGCAAACATTTTATAGCCACTTGAACAGGTTCCTGCGCTCTGCACCCTTGACATTTGCAAATGCGCTGTACTGCTCTGCCAGGTACAAAGGGGACAGCCTGTGTACTGTCACTCACCTTGCGCTGTTCCTCCACCATTACCATCCAACCTTCACAGAACCACAACTTAAGCAGACTGCAGGGTTTCAGAGCAATTAAATCAAATACTTAGGAAATGCTAAGATTTCATTTTCTAAAAGTAAAAGTTTTCTGAGGGAGAGATTTATGCTTACAAAGCAGCTTTATATCTCAGTGTATGAGCCACAGACTGCTGCACCCCACTCTTGAACAGGGCCTGAATGTAAACAGCAAGTGAGCAGGAAGGGACAGCCCAGGCTGCTCTCTGTCTGTCTGCTCAATATGGCCGCCTTGGGGAGAAAGGGGATTGCCTGCTCGCTCACTCTAAACCCTAGCAACTGTGCACAACGGCGCAGCTCAGAGCAGAGACCAGGAAGGCTGGAACATCAAAGCTGCTCTGAATGACCCCCCTGGAAAGAGGCGCAGGTCCCGTTCTTTCTTCCTCTGTTGTACAGACATCCTCGGGAGGGAGGGGGCCTTTGGGCACCGCGGCCTTCGAGCGCGTCCATCGGCAGCCCTCACCCTGAACGATCTGGGGTGCGGCTGCTCGGACACCCCTGCCCTGCCCGCTCACGGAGCTCTGCAAGAAGGAACGAAAGTCAGCTTCCCCCACGCGCTGCCAGGCCAGTCAGCTGCTGGGCTGGGGTGGAGACCACATCTCGCCCCAAGGCAAAGCACTACAAGCACTGGCAGAAACTGGCAGGAAACTACCGCGGCCGACCAACTGCAGGCTCCTCACGCATGGAGAAAGGACCCTTAAAAGATTAAGGAAGAGGGCTAACTGGAAAAGCAACATGCTCATTTAATTTTCTAATTTCTTAAAGGCAGAGCTGAACCTTCTGCACCACATCAGAAACACTTCTTTAAAATAACCACACTGGTACACTTTATTAAGACCAAGAAAACACACAATGAGCTCAGTGGAACAATATTATAAATGAATCAGTTCTTGCCAGACTTGAATTTCTTCTTGCTTTGAGACGAATACAAAGACACCTTAGAGAACAAACCCTGTTACTGTTACTAATATATATTTAATATTCTCATTAAAATACAGGCTAAGAGAAGCTTCACAAACCACAATATTTAAATTCACTGAGTAGTAACATCCTGACCAAATCAATATATTTAAAATAATTTATTTGGTACCATGATTACACAATAGTCAGTTCCAGGCTGCTGAAAATTGCCCGCCCTATAAATTCCAAAGTGCGCACAAAAATTCATTTAAGGAAACGGAGACCGTAGCCATTGAGAAGTCCACATTAGTACAAGAGCATGGGGAGGAAATTGTAAACCTGTGCATCATCTTTCATGAGTCATCAGGGTCATCTTTGTGGGTATGAAGTGTGAGGAAAAGGCAGTTCTGGGCTGACCAAACCTTAGGCTACCTTCCTAACCTGGAGCAGGCAGAAATCACAGGACCAGAGATGGTCTAAACCACAGTGATCTCAGCAGCCCTTTCTATATCACAAC